GGGGCTTCTCGCGAAAACAACGGAAATCCGAACGACTTCGATGTTGGTCTGGCTTCACGCTTAGTTTCTGTATACGGATTCGGGTCGGCGATGATAGCCTTAAGCCTCATCTTTCCTATCTCTCTGTTAGCCGCGTTCGATGCAATCTCTTCTTCTCGCATGTTAGCCACTGACCTTTCGCTCTTCCACAGGTCGCATCTAGAGCATCTCCTCGTACTCGCATCGATATGTTCGTCGCAAGCCGAGCTGCCACATCCGACGCAATTGTCTGTCTTTGGACGAAAACAAACGGCACAAAACTGGTCCACGGGAAGCGCGATTCCGTTCCCATCGGGAGGAGGGCGCGTTGCCCCTCCTACTAGCATGGTCGATGCTCCCGCATTCGCCACGGTCGTCTGATCGACTTGCGTAGGTGCAGATGCAATGCTCGACGACTGGGCCGTCGACAGCTGGTGTATGTTCGACCCGATCGGCTTAGCCGGCGGGCATGTAGTATTGCTCGACATTATACGCTGAAGAGACGATCTGGCTTCCTCATGCGATTTAAGCTCTTCTAGATAGAGATTGTTCTGGTTGGTTATCTTCGCAGCTACAGTTTGGGTGTTGTCTGCTTTCAGCCTGGCGGCTTTTAGCTCTTCTTGTAATCCCTGCTTTTCTCGTTCCGCCACGGCTGTCGCGATTTGTTCTCCTTCTATCTTGGCCACTGCATTGTGCAGCGGCAACCGCACGGGCGTCAGCAGATTCCTCGTTCGCCATCAGAACGGCCCGTCTCTCCGAAGTCGATCATTCTCTGTATTTGTCTTCTGCTTCCCTCTCCACTTTCCATTTCACGGCCTCGGTCTGATTGTACAGGTGTTCTATCAGCGCTTGTTCGCGCTCTCTAGCGGCCATGGCTAGGGCGATCCGCTCAGCCTCAAACATTTTCCTGGCTTCGATCACAATTTCAATTAATTCTTCTCTGTCCAATCGTGCCCTTTCAGCCAGATTCGCCTCATTAGTCAGAAACTCTCTCTGAGTGTTAGCCTCTGCTAGCCTGGCCTGGTCTTGAAAAGACTGTAAGAAGAGGTATGTGCAGTTGTGCTCGTCCATTGGGTAGCACTCCGTGCAAAGCCATTGCATGTTGCACTTGTTGCAAACGTCCGAGCAATTCCTGCACACTGGGTTCCTACATGCGCCTTCAGGCCTGTTGGCTTTTCCTGGGCATCTGTTCTCCGCCTGAGGCGCGCAGCCAGGATTGGGATTCCAACATACCTCCATCCTAGAAGCCGTACTGTTGCTCCTAGACCTCGCCCCTGATCTTGTTTTGTTTGGGTCTTCCCCTGCTCGAAGCATTCGATCTGGGGCGAGCAAAAGTACTTGCTGGGGGTTTGGGCGAGAATTTAAGAGCTCCTCATCCTTCTCGTCTTGTTTGATTAGCTGAGAGTATATATCTGGTTGTCCAACCATTTCTTCGTCTTCAACAACAGCCGGAACGGTGGGTTGCCACTCGCCTGAGGTGGTGGCGTTACGGAAGAAGCCTTCCTTTAATGGCGAGACGTTTAGCTCATAGTCCTCATCCCGTTGTTTCTTGAGGTTAGGCGCAGGAGTTCGCCCAGTGGGTTCCCTCTCATGCTTCGTTTGGGTCTCCGTCCTGCCCGCCTGAGGCGTCAGGATACTAGTGTCTTCATCGGATCCATCTGGAGACCAACTTTTGTCTCGAGCAGGGATGCCTTCATCCATCATCACGGAAAACGCTCGGCTCAGGGAAATATCATTATTGATACTATCAAAATTTTCTTCCATGGAATAATTTCGTGATCTTTGTCTATCGGATCATCGCTATCCGGACCGAGTTGTCCGTTAAGTGCTATAGGGGCTGGGGCAGTAATATGCATACCCACCCAATCTACGGGAATATTAGGATACGCATTCGGGTTCCCTTGGGATTCCCCTGGCCGGCTGGCTTCGCCAGCGGCAATGGCAGTAGCTTGTGGAACATTCTGGATGGGACTTATCGGCTCCGTCGAGTTGGCACTCAACCTTGAAGAAAATGCACCTCGCCTGGGCCTTGGCGCGACGCCTTCTCGCCCGTGAGGGTCGGGGGTTTGCTCACGATCACCTATCGGAGCCCCTACCGTGGGTACGTCTACCGACATTTCGGTTATTCCATCGGTACTTCTTCCCCTCATGACTCGGTCGGCGATAGTTGAAGGAGGGATTCGGTCTTGAATAGGACCGACTCTATCTGTATCGTGTCCATCATGTTGTTCAACGCGCCCTTTAGCGCTTCTCGAGATATTGGACACGATGTTAGTCTTATCATAGCTCTCTCCCGCAGCGACTTAATCGCGGGGCACGACCGAAAAATCTTCTTTTGTATCGAATGGCCCCGCGTCGACTGAGTCGCGCGTTTCGGCTGATAACCAGTCTTTCCTCTGAGAATCGGGGTAAGATGACAAAAGGAATTAAGATCTCATGTTCACTCTGCTCAGGGAGAGCGGAGGCGGGATGAGACATTGATAAGACAGACATCCGTTAAGCTAAACCACTCTATCAGGAACAGGAAGGGAGGAGAAAAACCGAGGACGGACGACGACGAATCGCCCGCGCGCCCCAGCGCGATCCTCTTCTCTCCTGCCAGCCGAGGTCGGCTGGTTTGAGCAATTATACAGCTGCAGAAACGCAGCTTCAGTTCACGCGGACAGTTCGTTGCATGCAATCTAAGTTATGTTCTAATTGAGTATGAGGCGGAGAGGAGCAGATTTACTCAAAGGCCCCCAAGAAGCCCCCAGGAGGCCAAGGGAGGCTCCCACGAGGCCTCCAAAAGGCTCCCAGGAAGCTCCGCAGAGGCCTCTCAAGAAGCCTCGCAAGACGGTTCCCAAGAGAAATCTCCTCCTCCTACTCTTACTCCTTCCCTGTCATCCTCATCATCATCCGCATCCTCATCCTCATCCTCCTTCCAATTATCATCCTCTTCCCTCTCCTGATCCTCCTCCTATTGCCCCCCCCCACGCGTTCCCCGAAGGCCTTCCAAACCGACTCGGGGAACAACTGGCCCGATAGCTTGGCCAAACTCTAGCCCAGCTGTCGGCCACACAGGCGCTTCCAAATGGGGCAGGGGGCGGCGGTGATTCGCCGCAGGCGTCTTCAATAACGCCAACGTCTCAATTTGCGTTGATGGTTCCTATCCACCCCCGCATGATGATCCCAGATGCGCCAAGGCAGCGCCGAGACGCACCGACGCGACTCTCATGTAGCCCGTTGTGATACGGAGGGGGCCGGCGGCAGGGGGCGAACCATTACTGATGTACATATGAGCGTGAGTGGACTGAGTGGGTGAATCTGAGTGAGATTAAGTCTGAGTATGGGCGACTCTGAGTGAGTCTGAGTGAAAGAAAATGATAATGAACGGGTCCCTGTATGAGGAATGACTTATGGATGATCGTGCGGGAAAGGCATGAGCAAGCTGAGCATGAGTATGTCTGAGCTTGACGCGTGTGTGGTCTGAGTGAGTGAATCTGAATGTAAGTGAGTCTGCTTCCGAGCAAATCTGAATATGCGTATGAATGAATATGGGTCTGGGTGCGTCTGAGAATTAAGGAATCTGATAGTGGGCGATCAGACTGACGAGTGACTGAAGCTGGGTAGTCTCTCAGTCCCACGGAGCTGAAAACGAATGGACTTGCGCGTGACTAAGCTGAGCTGAATCTGCGTGTGCGAGGGAGGCGGGTGAGGAGGCGGAGGCGTCTCACGGAGAGCAAGAGACTCATCCGAGGATGTGGGGATCCGCCGACCCTGTAGGCGCGTGTGATAGGCTTGTCCGTTTGAGTCGTCGTCGTTATCGCTGCTCCCCCTCACGCGTTCAAGCTAAAGGGAAACCGAGCAACGTGGTAATCAAGCCGAAAGAAGCACACTTCCCTTTGATCCCTGCCCCAGCGGAGGGAAGCGGGGGCCTTCCTAGGGGGGGATCCCACAGGTGGTCCTGGGGGAGTCCTGGGGTGGGTTCTGGGAGGGGGGAACGGGGGGTCTGACCCACCCCCAGGGGGGGGAGCACCCCTCCCTGGGAGAAGCTTTCGGTTCCAGAACGTCAGCGTCGTCGTCGGCATCGCTGTCGCCTTCGCCGTTCGTCGTCGTCGTCGTCGTCGTCGTCGTCGTCGTCGTCGTCGTCGAAGTCGCCATTCAGGGTCGCCGTCGCCCTTCAGGGTCAGCGGCACCTGCCGTGAGGCATTCGCAATGAACTCAAATGTTTCACCCCCCGGCGGCTCCTCCTTGGACCGCCCACATGCCACGCCTGCTATATCGCAGCAATCACGGGGCTCTCAAAGCAGAGGAGTCGACGACGCCAAGCGAGCTACTCGCTCGAGACATCCATACAATCTGAGCGCGAATGGGCAAATATCCTCCCACCTGGCGGCTGGCGGCTCGTGCCTGGGTGCTAAAATGCCACGCTACATCGAGGTGATAATAGACGGGTCTCCGTATGAGGAGCGATTTATGGACGGTCGAATGCAAGGCAAGCGTGAACAAGCTGAGTATGAGTATATCTGAGAGTGAGTGGTCTAAGCGAGTGGGTCTGAGTGTCAGTGAGTCTAAGTGCAAATCAGCTTAGGAATCGTAATGGGTATGAATGAAATATGGGTATGGGTGAGTCTCAGCATGAATGAGATATGATTATGAACGATCAGACTGACGAGTGACAGAACGGCGGTAAGTCTTCATCAAGCTGAATAAGATTAGACCTGGGTGTTGCTATGATGGGCTGAATACGCGTGTGCGAAGGAGACGGGTGAGCGACGAGAAGGCGGAGGCGTCACACTAAGAGCAATACTGCAATCCTAAGATATGGGGGATACACCCAATGAGAGCTCCTCAAGAAGTCTAGATAAAAAGGTGCCACATGTGACGGCAATCGGTGCTTGAAGCTCTGCCACCCGACTGGCTGAACCAGTTGGCAGGATTTGCAGCGGGCACCTGGAACAAATTGTCGACGGGAGGCGGAGCGTGGCTGGTAAAACATGTTTTCTCGCAAACAGGATGGTGAGGTGGTAACAGGAACACATGGCTACCCTGGCTCGGAAATGTCAGGCGCCTCACCGAGATCCCCAACGTCGTGATGCCTTCACAACGTTCACCCCTAGGGGCCTGGACCCCTCCCCCGGACCCGGACCTCTCGTCCTGAGTCGTTCATGGACGGCCTCGAGGCCTGGTGAGGGCCCGCAGAATTAAGATAAACCGCAAAAGGGGTCTGGCGAGGAGGGCCCCCTCAGACATACGCGCCGCCTCGACATGCCTCGGCGATGAGGCGAGCCCTCGGCCGTGGCCGGCGGGGGCTTGCTTGCCGTTCGGGAGGGCGCGGCTCCTCACTTGCGCAGGTAGCTCCTGGCTGTGTGGCTCTCCCGCTGCCGGCTGCCCTCCCCGCTCGAGCTCGTGTTCCTCACCGAGGCGCCCAGCTGCGACATGATGATCGCAGGGTCTTCGGCGGGGTGGCTGCTGCCTACGTGCTTGGCCACCGCGAAGCCGACCTGCTTGTTGACGTTATCGTAGACGGTGTAGAACTTCTCCAGGAACGGGATTCCGAAGATGAAGAGCGGACCCTTGGGCGGGGGCACGTTGAGGTCCATCAAGGAGACATCACACGATTCCGGGGTGCTGTCGACGTAGTCGTCAGGCTGGAGGTTCAGGATCTGGCCGCCAATGACAAAACCAAGGTTCGGCAGCTCGTGGTAGTTCTTACATTCAGGATCTACGTTCAGCCTGAGGCTCAACTCCTGGATGATGCGGGAAGGCCCAGCCAGCGCTGATGTTCCTGTGTCCACTGCAACATAGCAGTTGGTGCAAAGATTCTGCGGACGGTTGTCAATGGTGATGTCCGAAATTTGAACTTCCCAGAAGCCCGTGTCGCGGGTGACAGGCGCCCAATGCAGGTCCGACGCCATGTGGCTCGTCTTGATGCTGCCGAAGGTAACCTCGGAGACCTCTCCTTGTGAATCAGAGCTTGACAGGAAGACAGAGAATATACTCTGGTGGAGCCTTTCGGTCGCCTTGAGCCTTTCCATCGCATTGAACTGGAGGTTTCGCGACATTGTAGGCAGGCCAAGCCCCAAAACCCCGTCAAAATTGTAGGAGCCAAACGGGATAGGGCTCTCTTCGACGGTGGCAATGAAGGAACCTGGGTAGCAGGCAGTGCCAATGCAAATCTGATCCCTGACGCACCTACCAAAAATTTGCCCAGTGCCGAATGAAATGGAAACTGTGCTCTCAAGCGGTACATCCTCCGACTCCTCGGAGCCCCGGGGATTGCACGAAACAAAGCGTCCACTTGGGGATTCTGCCATGCTGTAGCGGCTGTGAGCGCGGCATGCCTCGCTTGTGCAGTCGCTCGCCGGCACTATCAAGTTCCCACTGCCAGAATCGAACACGACCTGGAACGACTGGTTCGGGATGCCGACCTGGACGGTGCCAAAGTAAGCCGTCTTGTGCTTGATCTTGGCGCTGCCCCTCCTCTTGCGGCGAAACCCTCGAAGATCAAACTGAAGGCCAGTGTCAGCCTCGTTATGGTCGCGGTCGTGGCCATAACCGCGGACATTCTCCGTCTCCACGAAGGTATCTTTGATAGTCTTTTTGTGCAGCTGCACCGACGTTGCCACCCCGACGGCTTCGCAGCACGCGAGGACGCAACAACACGTGACGAATGTGACCTGCACCGCTAGCGCCATGCTGATCGACCAGGAGGGTGTGGCCCTAACAGAACTGAGTGCGTGTGAAATACATGACTAGACCCACTTCGCATGCATGGTAGATGCTTGTCCTTGAGACTGAATGGCCATGGGCCATGTACCTCGTAGAGCTCTCGGTCGACCAGAGCTAGAGGAATTCGGCGACAGGGCAGAGCTAGTTGGCCGACCTTGGCAGAAGAGACCATATGGTGAAATGGGGTGGGTGTTTGTTCGAAGATGCTGTAATGTTCGACAATTCGTTTTTCAATGCCGATGTTTCTAACCTGCTTTACTTTATGACTGTTTTTAATCTAATCTCTTCAGCTCCTTAGGAGCAGTATTGCCAACAAAAACAGCTGGAGCTATTTGCTGAATTTTACATTTGCTGTATCGATGATAGTTTTGGATTTGCGTGAGTTCTAGGCCACAACCACAGGTGGAATGCACGTCTGTCGATCGAGCATGATTTAATACATCCAGCTGGAGGCACCGGGGAGCCGAAGTCCGTCTGCGTCCTAGAAATATATGAAATTATCTCTCGTCTGATTCGTTTGTCTGATGCCACGCAGGTCAGCAGAATATAGCGCGAACCACAGGCCATCACGAGAGCTAGACATAAAAGGAAAAATACTTGAATAACGCATCAAACGGTTCAGAACTCTTCAGGATAGTATGTATTCCATTACACTTTTCTCTGGTGTCGCGTGAATTGGCAAAACATATCTCGGCTCAAGCTCTTTACTTGGCGAAGCGGCTTGATAAAATAATGGAGAGACACGTAGGAGGACACAATCGTTCTCGGAGCATTAGACATACTCGAAAGTATGGATAACTCCACTACTGTTTCTGATGTCTAGGTTAGCATGGTATGGCCTGAGCCACAAGCCATCGCCAGAATTAAGCGAATTTCTGCTGCAGCGGAATGGTAGATGAATCCGGCTGCATGCAGCAACGAGTCGAAATCGTTCCAGAATTATGGGAACTATGTATTATCATATTGTGATTTTATCTGAGGTGGGACGCGTTAGCAGAAGATGGCTTGAGCTGGGCCATGATATTTGGAAATTAATACTTCAGCAGAGAATGACAAGTGACTCAAACTGCGGGCATGAGAGCAAACATCAGTCTAGACTATACATCTGTTCGAACAGCTATTATGCTACTTTTCTGGAATAGGAAGGTAGCCAGAAGAAAGCAAAACACAGGCTCTTGCCAGAGATCAAACTAATCTCTCCCGCAGAAGAATGATACAATTAATCAAATGACACGCCTCAGGCAGTAGAACATTCATGTATAACCCTAGCACATGTTCTATTGTAGAGTAGGTTAGCGGTCGGTCGGGGCGCAGCTGAATTACGATGCTTCCACCTTCGGGAGAGCCTTTCGGCTGCACTTTGATTTTTTTTTCTGAACGCACGGAGCTCTACGAGGGTCCCAGCGGTAACTAGTTAGGTTGACGGTTTACCGCCAGCGTCCATAACGTTCAGCATCTGGAAATATAGACCCGCACAATGCTCACCCAATCGGCACATATCGCAAGATAACATACGGTCGGCCCTAGGACAGAAAAGCACCTCTCAAGAGCACGAGACCCTCCGCCGGCCAGACTGAAAAACAGTCGAGGGCACCCTCCCACCCTCCCCAAGGATGCACAAGAGCATCCAGGAAAAACCAAGAATAGTAAGGCACCCTCCCCGAACCGACCTCGACATTATGCTTCGGTCCGACCGTAAGGTCGGCTACACGCAAGAGTGATCATAAGCAAGGATGACCTTTAGTGCACAGCTTAACGGGGGTTGCGGGGTGACCAAACCTGGGCGCGCAAGCCGCTGACACCGCTCCGCGCTCAGTGAGCGGCGGACCCCATAAGGCCGCACCAGAGGTCACTCCGGCGAAAGGTCACTCTTACGTCTGGTCGATAAGGACGACGACGCTCCTCCTCCTCCTCCTCCTCCTCGGCCTCCGCCTCCGCCTCCTCCTCCTCCTCCTCCTCCTCCTCCTCCTCCTCCTCCTCCTCCTCCCCCTCCTTCCCCTCCCCCTCCCCCTCCCCCGCCCCCTCCCCGTCCTCCTGCGCACTCACTCGTGGACCCAGGACAGCGTCAGCCCAGCGGCAGGCCGGGCCGCGGGGCACCGACGGCCGGGCCCTGGTGGGCCGGGGCAGCCGCAGTCCGCCCCACAGGCCTGCACACGGCATGGGCCGTCCGACAACTCGCCAGGGCACCGTTTCTGGTCGGACTGCTGGGAACCTCCTCCTCCTCCTCCTCCTCCTCCTCCTCCTCCTCCTTCTCCTCCTCCCCCTCGCTCCTCGATCCTACCTCCATCCCCCCTCCTCCTCATGCCTCCTCCCTCCTGGCCCTCCCTTCTCCCCTTCCCTCCTCCCTCGTTTTTCCGCAGCCGCCGTCCCGGTTCAGGCCTTGGGAGCAAGGCCAGTCCTTGCGAGCCTTCCCGGGACAGCTGCCATATGCGTTCGACCGGCCGCCATCGCGCGTGGCTGGACGGCCGTGCCTCGTGGCCCCTCGCCTGTGCAGCCCGACGTCCCAGCGGGCGGGCGGGTGGCTTGGCCAGACGCCGCGTTCAGATCGAAAGCCAAAGCCCGCCTGGCACCGACGGGCACGCTCGCAGGGAGCATCGGCCAGGGTACTCTACCGGGTCTCGGCAGCACGAGCCCTACCCGACGCTCATCACAGCTCTATGCCCAAGACCCCGCCACGGGCAAACGACGCCACGAACAGTGAGGGCCAGTCAGCGCCTGCAGGTGCTGCCAAACGGCGATGTTCACAGTGTGGTACGTCCACTTGGCTTGCGTCGCAGCTGTGCCACTGGTGCTTTCCGCCTCAGCGGGGATCGTGCCCTCGTGGCGGTCGTTCCCGGCAGCCGACTCGTCGCTCGAGCCAAGGAGATCGAGATGCAGACAGTCGACCACCGCGCGGAGCCTCCAGGGAACCAGGAGGAGCCGTGGAAGAATCCAGGAATCCAGTGTCAGCCTCACAGCCAGGCGCCGCAGCATCAATTCGGCGTCATTAACATCATCTCTGACCATCTTGCCTGCCTCGCTCGAGACGGCCAAGGCACGCGAGTGTTAGGTAGAGCCCCCAGCTGGGACCAAGGAGTTGGCACGACATCGCGCCCAGATCAAGACCGCGTTCTCTGCGCTGGAGAGCCGCATTCACAGCCGTCGGGCGCTGTGTGCCACCCCACACGAGTTGAGAGCCGCTACAGACCGAGTACGCAGTGCTCCTCCTCATGCACATCCACGCCTACGGGGCGCGGGATCGAGTTGCCAGTCAGGAAAGATACTCGGACAGGGCCCAAATAAGGTGGCCGACGCCAAGACCGCAGAGGAGTCCGCCAAGATCGCCCTCACCAAGGCCACAGCCATGCGCGATGCCTTACAGAAGGACGACGACCACTCGACCGACCTGCTGTCCTATTTCAAGACGCCCCAGCTACGGGTGGAGCCGGATGCAACAGCAGCGGCCGCCCGTGCAGAGACAGCCCAGTCAGCAGCCAACGCAGAGGCAGCGGGTCGCGCCGTCCAGTTCGGCCCACCGCCCATGGCGATCGACGCTCAACCTCACAGCGCCAGACCACCTGCGCCACCACCGCCTCCGAAGCCATGTCCTTCGGGCCCGCCAGCCGTTGCCTCCCTGCCCTCCGCCATCGCCGAACTGCAGGCGGGACGGCAGGCTCTCGCGCAGCACATGTCCACCTTGGCCCACGCGTTCGCGACGTTGCACTTGACGCTCCAGGCAGCGCCCCCTCAGGCCGCCGCGGCCGCACAAGCGGCGCAATGTGGCCGGCTGACAGCCCCAGTGGCCCAGGCGGCTCCGCTGCCCATGGTCCAGTCGCAGCTCGCAGCAGCCATCAGCCATGCGGCAAGCCAGGTTGCACCAGCAGCGACAGCACCAGCAGCAGCAGTCACTGGAGATGGCAGCACTCAGAGCGGCTGGGGCGACTGCCTCGCCCAGTGCCGCGGCAGCCTCACACGAGAGGTCAGCGGGCAACAGCAGCATCCCACCGCCATGCCCACTGCCGCTCGGCAGCCAAGGACGCAAATCGCCAGACTGCACCAAGTGGCAGCAGCAGGCCGGCTCTTTGCCAGACCAGCTTGGCCTCGCAACGTCGCTGAGGCGCAATGCGGAAGCCCCTCCAGCCGACGAGCCAGACTCCGAGTTCCAGATGATCGACAGCGAGGAGGTGGACACCCAGAGTTCTCACGAGCCGAACGGCGTGGGAGCATGAGTTCTGCGAACCAGGACCCGGACGTGGGGCCACCAGCAACCCAAAGACGTGCTCGCTCTGACCCAGTATCTTCATTCTTCCACAGCGCAGGCTCTTCCAGGTCTCTCCCCCATCGAGGAGCTCGGTGAGCATCGTAGGCTTCTCATCTACATGAATGGATCCGGAGGAGGCAAAATAGACGCATCAAATGATCAAATTATTCAGCCGGCCAATGAACTGCCTAGTTGGGCTTGCTTGGTTTGGATGGAATGCGTATCCAGCAATGTCGCCCTCCTCGGCTTATTGGCTAACCCCTTCGACCCAGGGGACATTCTGCGCGAGAAATATTCGTTCCTCTCGGATATTTTCGCGGCCCAATGGGCCATGGCTTGGATCTTGCAATGGCGTGATTCCCAGGGGCCAAACTTTCATGTCGATATGTTCGGCGGTAACCTCGAAGTGATCTCTATCTTCGAGGGAAGTTCCACACAGGGCACATTGTCTGGGGGAAGAGTCCTGCTCGACAGCCTGGCATGCATCATTTTCAATGGCAGCGTTGACACTGGTCGAGCCCAACACGTAGTGAGCTTGCGGACACACTTGCCACACTTGTTTGAATGCAGTTGACCGGTTTGTCTCCTCAATTGTCATGCGCTTGGCGCGAGCACCAGCTTTCGATGCAAGCAAGCTCTAAGCTAGGCATGGCTAGAGCTCGTGCGCTCCGATGTTCGCGCGCAGTATCCGCCCCCAGAGGACCAGCCACTTCCGAGGCCCACAGCGCCAGTTCACGGCCTGTCCTGCGTGGCTCCGCTGAGCACAGAGTCCCTTGCCACAAGCTCCCAATGGCTCCACAAAGGTATTGCACACGAGGCCCCTCTGCGTGGGCAACGTGCCCACCATGGGCCCCAGGGCTTTCAGGGCCAAGTAGGCTTCAGAATTGTATCTTCCAAATCGCATGGCCCATCTGGGCCGCGCAGTCGCCGGGCGCCACGTCTTCCTGGCAGGCACTCTGGAGGCTCGCCTTCCCCGAGATGGCTATTCTACGGCAGGGGGTTTATCCCGTTATCCACGCGAATGCTGACGCTCACAGCCGTTTTGGATGCTCGTTTTGGATTAATACAAAGTGCGCGCACAGTGTGTTATGCTCGCTCACTGCCAAGCATTGCAGAGCTTTGCGCGTCACCTCGCCTGCTCACCGTGGCTGCCAGGCACTGCACTTTCAATTTGAACGCGATTGTTGGGCACGCGCCCCACAGTGCAGCAGCCAGAGCTTCCATCGACGAATGGTGGGCCTCATTTTCCTCGCGCCCTCGCGCCTACGCCACCTCCTCGATCCTGACATCCCGGATATTCGTCTCTTGGACGCCAATGGTCGGAGTGGGCCAAGCGTTTCCGAGGCAGTCGGTGGCGTCCATCCAGAAACCCAGAACTAGACAGATCAGCGCTTTCACGGGGCCCTACTTGAGGGATGGCATTGGCTTCCAGCAACCTCCCTCTCTTCCAGCACCAGCGGGGCCGATCGGTTCGCCCGTTCAGGTACTGCCCCTAAGATAGGCAGAATGCTCGACTACATCGCGTGCTCGCGCGACGTTTTAGTGTCTGAGTCGGACGTCAAGGACGAGGTCGATTTGGCAATCTCCATTGTTGACCACAAGGCAGCGGGGGCTTTACTTCAGATTCCGCTAGTCTTTCCGAAGAATTGCCAGGTCACGGGGTATCCGAATATCAAATGCGACACGTCAGCCTTCACAGAATCACTTGCAATGCAATACTTTGCCGACCAAGCCGCCCAGTTCGCTCCATGCCCGGATTTGTCAGTTCATCCTACTGACCGCTGCCACATGCTGGTGGACTTTCTACATTCCCCCCTGCCCATGTCCCCCCCGCCCAAGCGCTCTGCTCGAGGAGGCTCGCAGAGACCAGCGTGGATTTCGTCGGCCCCCCTCGAGCGCATCGGCGACATGGTAGCCCGACCGCGGCAATTTCGAGGCGAGCGTGATCTATGGCGCAGGGAATATCTTGCCATGTGCTTCAGAGTCTGGGCTCTCCAAGAAGACCCAGTCTTGCGTCGCCAGTTCTCGCGGGCTGCCGCCTCCCCCCCCACGCGCCGCCATGGCCAACCAGGCTGCTGCAGGCTCGAGGGGGCCTGCAGGGCGTGCTCAGAGAGGTCCTCGCGGACCCCCTGCGCGCCAAGTTGGGGCCGCCTCGCCGCGGCGCCCGCAAGGCCCAGTGGCCGCGCCTGGAAGGCAGCGGCGTCGAGGCTCCTGCCAGGGATCAACCCGTAGGCTTCGGTCGGGCCCAATGGGGTTTCGCCAATTTTACTTGGATCGGAAAATGGCCACTTGGACGCAATCAGCTTGCCGCCCGCACTCGCGCGCGCGAGCGCCCGGCACTGGCGGCATCCACCCACTGCGCGAATTTCCAAGTTCGGGCAGATGCCAGTGCGCACTGCCCGGACATAGCCAGAGAGGCCACTCGAGAGCCCGCGCACTAAGAGACATCCCGCTTGCTGCCGAGAGCGAGGTCGCGTTGACGTGAGCCCAGCACTTTGCTACTAATGAAGCAGCGGCAGTCATCTCAAATGCCGATTTGGATTGATTCTCCACTCTTTTACCTGATCCCCCAGACTCCTTGGTCAACGAGCTAATATGCACCAACCAGGACCTGCCCGCCAACAGCCTCTCGGAAGCAGTTGCAAGCGCGCCAGGGATGCTGCCGCAGGCCCAGAGGGTAACGCAGGGCGAATGCTCGCTAAGCTCTACCGACCTTTTCCCGACCTCCTGTTCCCCCTCATCACCGAGGTTCTGCTCGGGGCTCAGGGGCCCTTGCAATGGGGCGCGGGCTTCTGCTGGTCTTTACTTACGAAAGGGGGCCCTGGGGATCGCAATTGTTACCGATCTATACGGGGATCATCTCAGCTCGGCGCACGCTCGAGATCACTCATGCGCGCGCAGCTGGCCCCATGTCTCCCTCATGGCCCCCTCGCCCCGGGACCTGCCCCGGGACCGCCCCTGGGACCCCCACCCCCCCCGGCGGGGAAGGGATCAAAGGGAAGGGGCTTCCCTTCGACTCAACTACAGCGCTGCTCAATTTCGCTGTGGCTGGCGCGCTCGAAGAGGAGGACCCGGTGAAAGTGGAGGCAGCGGCGCCAGGCTCAGGGAAAGGGAAGGGACCGGCGACGGCGACAGCGACGACTACGACAACAACGACCACGACGACGACGAGGACGAGTCAAACGGAACAGCCTCTTCCACACGCCGACAGGGTCGGCGGATTTTCGGATATTCCCCCTGTAGAGGGACAGGCCCGACTGAAAAAAAAATGTGGGCCCCTACCCCAAGCTTCGTGACCTTCTTGAATGGACCAGGACATTTTTGGGCCCGACCTCTGTGGGCCCCGGAAACGGCAGGGCCTTTTTTGTTCATCGTTTCCCCAAAAAGTGTCCCTTGAAAATGGAAACGGCAAAAACAACGGCGACCAGAAACGGCAACAAAAACGGCTCCAAGCTTGGACCCCGAGCCGGAACCGGTCCACAAACGGCGACGGAACCGGTGAAAAAACGGCGTCGGAAACGGCAAAAAAAAGGGCAGAACGGAACCAGTAAAAAAACGGCCCTGCCGTTTCCAGGGCCCACCAAGGGGTAGAGGTCGAGTTTACGCCCCGCTACAGTTCAGCGAGCGGTCTGAAGTGAGGCGGGTCGTGAACTCGACCTCGTTTTCGTGTTTGCGATCGGGAGGAAGAAGAGGAGGAGGAGCGAAACGGAACCGGTACAACAACGGCCCTGTCGTTTCCAGGGCCCACTCTAAGGGCCCGACCCTGGGATGTACGATGGGGGGGGCACCGTGCCGCCAAGATGGCTCCAGCTCCATCCGCTCTCTCGACGGCGGCCCCAAGACGGCCCCAGGCGGCCATCCGAGGGCTCGATTGGCGGCACGCACGAGGGGGGTAGAGGGAGGGGGGAGGGCTTAGTAGAAGGAGACTGCTTCTCAGAAGGCGCCAGCCTCACATCTACAGATAAGGCCCGCGCCTTCGAAGAAGCATGGGTGCTTCTAAGAAGCCCTCCCCCCTCCCCCCACCCCCCTCTGCGCGTGGCCGATTCTAGGCGTGCCCACGGAGGCTGGAAGATGGGCTCGAGAGACTTCCGAGTCATGGCCCGAAGACTCATAGAGAGGCTTCCAAGCCGGCCTCAGATTGACCGCGGATGATGCGCAAGACGCACCGAGGCGGCGGCAATCGTGTATTTTCATTTGTCGCCGCGCTGCTTGCTCTGAACGCGCCCAAATGGACGTCGCCGACATCGCAGCAAACCCACGGCAGGCTCTGCGTCCCCGCGCCCAAGTGGACGAAGCCAGCACCGCGGCAAACCCCACGGCAGGCCCTGCCTCCGGGGCGGAGTTTGCCCTGGTGGCCGCGGCGCCCTCCCCAAGACGTACATGAGGAAAAACAGCATCAGCATATACTTTTGGCGCTGCGCGCGGATTTCTTGGAGCTGTGCTGGGACCCCCTCGCTGGCGCGCGGAGCGCGCCAGGGGCGGCGCAGGAGGCGCCGCCAGGGGGGCCCAGCGCGGATCCACAAAAATCCGCGCGAAGCGCCACAGGTTCACTTTATACAGTTTTTTCGTCTTCGGCGTAAGGCCGCGCGTCAGAACAAACGGCGCGGCGACATGCATTGTTGTATGATTTTGGTGTGCTCGCATCTTCGGCCTCCAGAGCGCCCACCACGGCGCAGGACGCCCCCCCAAGAGTGCCCAGATGCGCCCCAAGGGAGCCCCAGGCAGGTGCTGCATCAGCGCTGTCACTAGAGAGCAAACGTGTAGAGGCACGCAGACGAAGCGTGAGAAGCAGAAGCCGACCGAAGGGGGCGGGGCCACAGAAGAGGGGAGGGAAGGACCGTCCGCTCACGCGGCCGGCAGCAGACAGCAGAGGGAAGACGAGGAGAACCCCCGAATGGTCCATACTGCCAGCCCCCGGTGTGTGTGGGCAAAGCAAGGGACGCCTTGACTGTGGTTGAGCAGACATGGGTTCTTCGCAAGAGGCTTCCAAGACGGCCCAGAGAGGGCTCCGAGAGGCCCTCCAAGAGAGCCCGAGGAGGCGAAAGAAGTCGATCTGCCGTGCAGCCAGCTTGCTGGCAGAAGGAACGCACAACGAGGAATGGAGGGGCACTCCTGGCCGCGGCGAGCTTCAGCCACGCATGGGTTCCCCGGCCTGGGTCCGAGGAACGGCCCGACAACTGGAGCCCCTCCTGAGCCCAAGGTGTCCTCTAGACGTGAGCGTCTTGAGCGTACGTTGCTGAAGGATGCTGAGGGTCGCACCTGCTTGGGCTCCCGACCGCCCAGGACGGCCCACGAGGCCTCCCAGACAGCCCGAAGACAACTCAGGAGGCCCCCAAAGCGGGCCCCAGGTCGGCCCAAGAGGACCCCAAGATCGCCCAAGAGGCTCCAAGAGGGCCCCAGCACGACCCCCAAGCGCTCCAAGAGGGTACCAAGACGTCCTAGAAAGGCCCGCAAGACAGCCTCTGAAGGCGTCTGACGGGCAAAGAGCCCCCTGAGACGGCCAAAGAGGCCCCGCGAGGCGCCCAAGAGGGCCCGAGAGAGCCCCCAAGAGGCCCGGAAGAGGTTCCCAGGAGGCTCCAAGAGAGCCCCGAGAGGCCTTCTCCTCCGTGTTTTTACATCTCCCTCTTCTTCGCCTCCAACTCGTCATCCTCCTACTCCTCCCCTTCCTCCTCCTCCCGATCCGCCTCACTTCAGACCGCCTCACTTCAGACCGCTCGCTGAATTGTGGCGGCGCGTAAACTC